ACCATCTTTAACTGGAGAGGGGAAACTAGAAAAATCATGAGTCGAGTTTGTTGTTATTATTCTTCCTATATATTTTTAAATTAATAAATTTAAATTAATAAATATTTTTAATTAACAAATACATAAACTCCTAAACCGCTATGAGAGAATGATAGAAGTGCTTAGCACAGTGCCAGCACATAGTAGGTACTCAGTAAGTTGATGATGCTCTTTATTATCATCTCTCTGAAATTCACCTTTGACATCAGGGGACCGCATATGATGATCATCTTAGCTCTAGTGACTGCTTTGTTCATTTTCTCTCTGCGGGGTAGTAGAGGCTCTGGCTCTGTCAGGGGCCTGTGGCAGTGGATAGGGAGGAGACTTAGAGAAGGCCCCTGAATACCATCTCTCCCTCTGCTCCTTTCCCACCTCCCTCCTGAAGGTCACTGGCTGTTCGTTCCTCTGACAGTGGGAAGTTCCCATGAAGATATCCATTCTCTCTGACAACTTTCTGGGCAACTTTCTCCCCAGCATCTGTCCACGGGGAGCAGAGAGCCTGGCCTTTAGGGAACACACAGCCATACTCTCTTTCCAGAGAAGGAGCTTCCCTGTGTCCCCTCGTGTGTCATCATCCCCTCAGGATGGTGCCGTTGCTGGCTGCAGGCCAGAGCCCCCAGAGCTGGGACACCTTTCCCTTCCTCCTTCTGGCCCACTTACTCACACTCATCCTGCCTGAGATGCCGCCTTCTCAGGCCCTCATTCAGGAACCCCTCAGGGTGGTGGAAGGGCCCCCAGGAGGCTCAGTCCTATTTCCATAAACTGCAGTTGACCCATGAACAACGTGGAGGTTGGGGGGCACCAACCCACGTGCAATCCAAAATGTGCATATAACTTTTGATTCCCCAAAAACTTAACTATGAATGGCCTACTGCTGACTGGAAGCCTTACCAAAAACATAAACAGTCAATTAACATATTTTGTGTGTGTGTGTGTATATATATATATATATTATAGACTGCATTCTTTAATAAAGTAAGTTGGAGAAAAGAAAATGTTAAGAAAATCATAAGGAAAAGAAAATATATTTACTACTAAGTAGAAGTGGATAATTTTCAAGGCCTTCATCTTCCTCATCTTCACGTCGAGTAGGCTGAGGAGGAGGAAGGGTTGGTCTTGCGGTCCCAGGGTGGCAGAGGTGGAAGACGAGGTGAAGGTGAAAGGAGACGCAGAAAGGACAGGCACACTCAGTGTACATTTTATTGAAAAATATCTGTATATAAATGGATCCACACAGTTCAAGCCCATGCTGTTCAAGGGTCAACTGTACATGGTCTGGATCTGGTAGGAAATAGTGGAAGTCAGTCTAGTTGAAGAAAATCGTGAACTTTATTTAGTCACTTTTTATGCGTACCTCTTCCCAGGAGGGGCAAGTGCCGAACCTTTGTTATGGGCCGGGCAAAGTACGGGGTTGGGGAAAGGATGACTAGGACAAGAGTCTCTTCTGTCTTCAGATAAACAAGCCCAACACCATGGAGGTAGCGAATAAGTTGGTTCCCAAGGAGGTTTGTCAAGTAGAAAATGCTTTCTGGCCAGGTGCGGTGGCTCACACCTGTAATCCCAGCACTTGGGGAGGCCAAGGCGGGTGGATCACCTGAGGTCAGGAGTTTGAGACCAGCCTGGCCAACATGGTGAAACCCCATCTCCGCTAAAAATACAAAAAATTAGCCAGGTGTGGTGGCGCGTGCCTGTAATCCCAGCTACTCCGGAGGCTGAGGCAGAAGAACCGCTTGAACTGGGAGGCGGAGGTTGCAGTGAGCCAAGATCGTGCCACTGCACTCCAGCCTGGGTCACAGAGTGAGACTCCATTTCAAAAAAAGAGAAAAAAGAAAAGAAATGAAATGAAAATGCTTCCTGAATTATTCCCTCAGTGGAAGTGATGGCTGAGCCGGAGCAGCGTCTTAGACCATGTGTAGAGGTCACACACTGAGACGCCATACGATAAAAGAACTTGGGTCCCTGAGGACCCACGTAGAGCATGCCAGCTGTGCCAGCCATGGACTGCCAATCTCCGGATTGCAATGGGAGGAAGAAACGCACTTCCATGTCTCTTAAGCCGCTGTGTTTTGGTCTCCATACGCACAGCCAAATATAATCTTAATTAATACTGTGTTCAATAAATGTCAGCTGATGTTGTCACATGATTGTAACTAATGTCTGTCTTCTCACTAGACTGAAAGCTTCATGAGGATAAGGGCCATGTCTGTGTGGTTCAGTATATTCCCAAGGCTCATGCCAGTGCCATGTGCACAGCAGGTACCCAGTGGGCATCTGTTGAATTAGTGAGTGAGCCATGACCTCTGTTCATGCTCTTCTTCTCCCTGGGCCTAAGCACCAACCTTGGGGCACCTTTTCCTTTAAGGTCTCACTGAAAGCCCTTCTCCCAGAGAAAATACTTGTAATGCTTCACTTCCTTCCGGTTCCTCCTTTTATTGGTTCCTTAAAACTTACACTATATGTTACATAGATGGAGTTATCCCTATGCTATTTGGGGATCATTCTCTGTTTATCCCTGGTTACTTATGTGCTTGCTTAAGTGAACAGTAACCTACTTTGGGCAAGGAAACCACTTTCAGTTTTCAAATCACTGGGAACCTTAACTCCAGTTCTTCTCAAATGAATACAGTGGGTAATAAATACTTGCTGAAGAAAGAAAGAAGACAGGGAGGAGGGTGAGGATCAAAAAACTACCTATCAGGTACTATGTGTTTTACCTGAGTGGTGAAATAATCTGTACAGCAAACCCCTGAGACATGCAATTTACCTGTGTAACAAACCTGCACAGGTACCCCTGAGCCTAAAATAAATGTTAAAAAAGAAGGAAAAGAAGGGAAGGAGGAAAACCTGACAAGGTCCCAGTGCTAAGGAGAATGTTGGCATCTCAAGTTGGGGGTGTGATTTAAAGAAAAGAAGCAGAAAGTGAGGTCAATAAGAGCAGTCTGAGAGGTAGGGACAAGGAAGAGAGTCCTAGGAGCCAAGCTTGGAAAACATTTCAAAGGCAGGTTGAAAATGGTGTGTTGAAAATTGAGAAAAAGTAGAATTCAAGGGACCTTGTCAACATTAGCTGTGACCTTGATCAAGTCACTTCACCTTTAAGGATCTGTTTTCCTGATTTCGACACTTAGGAAGTCTGACTAATCAGTGAACAGGCTCTGCTCCAAGGAGCCCAATTAGAGGCTCCAAGAAGCCTGAACCCAGCCCTCTCCTCCTCAGCCAAAGAAGCTGTGTTCTTCAGCTTCATGCACTGACTTCCTTATAAAATTTAGTCTGAACAAAAGGCTCTGGGGCTAAACCGAAGTTTGAGAACCACTGGATTCAATGAACTCCTCAACTGTATGAAGATCCCTGATTTTGAGATTCAACCAGTCACTCCCAAAGCTGAAACCCTTCCTCAAAGAAAATCTGGGAAACAAAGGGCATATACATAGATCTTGGCCTTGTCTCCCCAGCCAGACTGTAAATTCTAAGAAGGGCAAACTTGGGCTTGTGGTGCTCAGCTTCCCATGACAGGCAGGCAGCCTTGGCTGAATTCATAGATGTTCCACAGAGTTCTGTGGCTGGATGCTTGACAGTTACGCAATAGAAAGGCCATGTGAAGGATTTATTTCACCTTGGGGAGTTCTCGGGGATGTAGGGACTCCCTTTCTGGGATGACTGGATGACCGGACCCCTGTGCTACCATTTAAATATTTCTACTCATATACGTGTGTCTTTAACTTCATCACATCATCTTGCTGCTTCTTCCCAATTGCTGGTTTTCAGGTGTCTCCTTTTCCCACATGCCTCTACCCACTCCCTTTCCCTCTCAGCCTGAGGTTCATGACCTCTGACCCTGACTCTTTCCAAGGCATTGAGCTGGAATCCTGTGTCTGGAGTCAATGAGATGTCCAGAACAGGCAGGACTGAACCAAGTACCGGGAACTTTGCACTCAGAGGAAGAGGCACCTAAAAAAGCAAAGATCAAACCAAAGCGTGGTCCATCTATACAATGGGATATGATTCCGCCTTAAAAAAGGAACATGGGGACATTGTGCTAAGTGAAATAAGCCAGCCACAAAAGACAAACACTGTCTGATTTCACTTATCTAGAGAGGTCAAATTCATAGAAATGGAAAGTAGAATGCTGATTGCCAGGGGCTGGGGGAAGGAGGGAATGGGGAGTAGTTTAATGAGTATGGAGTTTCTGCTGGTGGAAATGAAAAGGTTCTGGAGATTGATTACTGATATGGTTTAGCTGTGTCCCCACTTAAATCTCATCTTGAATTCCCACGTGTTGTGGGAGGGACCCAGTAGGAGGTAACTGAATCATGGGGTCAGGTTTTTCCCATGCTGTTCTCACGATAGTGTATAAGTCTACAAGATCTGATGGTTTTTAAAACAGGAATTTCCCTGCACAAGCTCTCTTTGCCTGCCGCCATCCGTGTAAGGTGTGCCTTTGCTCCTCCTTGCCTTCCACCATGATTGTGAGGCCTCCCCAGCCATGTGGAACTGTAAGTCCAATAAACCTCTTTTTCTTCCCAGTTTCAGGTATGTCTTTATCAGCAGCATGAAGAGAGACTAATACCACTACATGACAATGTGAATATAGCTTACTTGACTGAATTGTATGCTTAAAAATGGTTAAGAAGGTAAATTTTATATTATGTGTATTTTACAACAATTTTTGTTTAAAAGCAGCAACAGCAAGAACCACAGGAGGAGTCCCTGCCTCAGCCTGGCCTCTCTCTGCCTGCCACCTGGAGGTGTGATAAGGTAGAGGGTGAGCCAGAAGGGAATGAAACTCCTCCAGGTGACAACTCCTCAAGCTGCTGGCCTTCCAGAGCTTACTCTCCTGAGTCTGACCCCAATATCTCTAGATCCACAGGCTTTTGTCCTTGTCTCCTAGCTCCCAGATGCTACTCATTTCTCTGAGCACACATGAGACCGCAGGTGACATTATCACACACACACCACAAACCAACTCAATCTGTTAATTAGTTTTTTAAAAAACAAACAAAACAGAGACTGGTCATAATCCCAGAGCCCAGCCTGACCGTATTGGAGCAGTTTATTAACAGGGAGGGTCTGTAAGGTCCTTGGGGCAGCGGCGTGGTGATAAGTCGAGGACTCCATCTCAGCTCAACCATCCGGGGCCTCTCTCTAACTCACCCTGGTATGGCTAAGGCCAAGGGCCAGGCACCTGAAAGAAAGTGCTAGGTGGAAAGGGCATTTCAGCCTCCTATACCCAGCCCCTTACCACACCCAGGGGGATCACAGGGAGAACCTAGGGAAAGAAGTGAGGAAGAACAGGGTCAAGAGCACAGGCCAGGGACTCTCTCTTCCACTTGGGATCTGGTTTTCTCACTCCCAGGAGCCTGTACAGGAGACCTCAGGCCTGAGGGAAGGGCATTGCCTTGAGAGATCCTGGGAGAGGCAAGAGGATGTGACTGACAGGGTCAAGACAGGGAGAACAGGCAAAGGCAAGCAGGAGACAGGAGATGGTGAGTGAGCAGGGCTGTCCTCACGTCCTGATCCCAAGTGGTTTCCTCTTACGGGGTCAGGGCTGGGGCAGACGCCTTCTAGGGCATGTGGTGGTATTCTTAAGGCCCTAAGTGACCCCAGAAGGGACCGGGGGGGAGGCTGCACTCACCTGGAAGACTCTGCTTCACCCCGACATGATGTGCTTGACAAAGGCTAGGAAAGAAATGAAAATCAGTTGCCGTGTGGCTCAGCACCTCTAGGCCCATAAACCACTTGTCCCTTCTCCACACTGCCTGACTTCCAACCCTCCCACTCTCCTTTCTCCAGACTGTGTAGTTCCTGCTCTTATTTGGGGGTTGGTGGGGAGAAGGTGGAAGAAGGGCAAACATTTAAACTCTGCTCTGTGCCCACTCTCTGTGCTCATTCTCAACACAAATGGAATGAACTACATTATCGCTATGAATCCCCACAGCCTTGAGAAAGGTGCCAGCATCACCCCTATCCCTCAGACGGGAAAACTGAGGCTCAGAGAAAATAAGTGACTTAATCGAGTCCACCAGCTAATATATCACAGAGCTAGCTGCAAAATCCATGCTTCCACCATTACACTAGGAGGTTCACTCACAAGATGGAAAAGAACAACATCCAATAGGGGGTCTACCAAAGCCCACATCAGACACACACTCCCCAGTTCCTGGGCCTACCCCACCCAAGCTGTTCCCACGCTACCATCCCTGGCTGCCCTGGGAAGCAAGGCGTGGCTTAATACCTTCATAATTGATGCAGCCATTGGCATCCTCTTGCCCAGCTAAGAGCTGCTCCACTTCAGCCTCAGTCATCTTCTCTCCTGCAATGGATTTGGGAGGTGGTGCGCTCTTAATTACAGATGGCAAAGGAGGAACTGGCAATACCCAAATACCCCCATAAGTCTGAAGGTTCAAGACTGCCTGGATCTGGGAAGTGGTTCAAACCAAGCCTCCCCCAAATGCTTTGAAGGGTGGGGTCAAGGGTCTTAAGGTCTTGCCCAGTCTCTGAAGCCTCCCCCTTTGCCTTACAGCTGCCAGGGCCTCAGTGTTTCAGGCAAAGACAAGGAAAGAAGCCCTGAGTCCCACCTCTCAGGCCTCAGCAGTAACCCCTGCTCTGCCAACCTGCTCTCCCCTCCTCTCCCAAACCCTGGTACCTGCTGAGCAAACCCAACTGGGGATGGTTGTTCTTGCAGAGCCCAGGGAAGCAGGGCCTGGATCAGGTCATTATCCTCAGGATGCAAAGACCCTTGTATACCACCCCCCAACCCAACCAGTATATGTCACCTTGGCACCTCCCACCCCTCCATTCCTCCCACTTGGTCTCCATCTCTGCCCAGCTGGCATACCCAGGGTGGCAAGGACGTGCCGAAGCTCGGCACCCATGACCGTGCCATTGCTCTCCTTGTCAAAGACACGCAGGCCCTCCACAAAGTCCTCATAGGTGCCCTGCTCCTTGTTGCGGGAGATGTGCTGCAGGATGGGCAAGAACGTCTCAAAGTCCAGCATCTTGACATTCATCTCTTTAGGCAGGCAGGGTAGAGAAAGAGAAAGCAACGTGAGCTGGTGCTCAGGGAAGCAGAAGGTCAAGAGGGGGCCTCACCCCAAGTCTGGCAGCACCCAGGGCTCGGGCTACAGCTACTTCTGGGTGGCACACCCATTAGTGCTCCTGGAGGACACAGAGCTGCCCATCCAAGCAAGGCAGGGGACTGGGGGCTGGGGAGACAGTCTCAGGGGCCTCCTTTTCTCAGTGAAAGGAGTAGGGTGGAAGGAAAAAGGAGCCCTCCACCCAGACCTCTGAGCACCAGGTGGCCAACCAGGTGAAGGAGCTGAGGGTGGCAGCAGCAGGATGTGAGGGACCCGAAGTGCCACGCAGCCCGGGCCTCACACTCAGTTTAGACCCTTGACGTGTTGTCGACAGACCTATAATCACAGGGGCAAACAGACAGGACTGAAAAAAGAAATGTTTGCACCACTCTGCATGGGGTCCCATCACTAGAGCACACTGCTTGAAGCTACTCTGAATCAATAAGTTTTATAAATTCGCAGTTCTCTTGTGAACAGCGCACTTCTCCCACATGGTAGTGTGTTAAAAAGCTTTAATTTAATAGAGGCAAACTATTTTTAAATACCACAAATGTGGGCATTTCTTTCTTTTATAAGCACCCAGGACTTGCTTCTGACTTCTGAGACACAAGCTCCTAGCCCTCTGGTCCTTTCCTGCCCACATCCTTCACCCCCGCGGTTATCTTCAGCCAGAGGAGAAGGGGAAAGGGCCAGAACCAAGGGATGGAGGGGGGAACCAATATGGGACCCAGGAAGCCTCCAGAGATGGCCCGCCCTTGCTGAGAGGCTCACCCCACCCCAAATCCCATGCCAACACCACTGAGGAGAAGCATGTGTGTGTGTTTTAGAGCAGCTGTTAACTTGACTAGCACACATGACAGATGACATTACAAATGGGACACACGCCCTTGCACCTCTTTTCATCTGCTGTAACAAGGACTGACGGAGGCACAGCTCACACATGAGTATGAACACTCAACGGTCGCACTTATGAGCTACAAAAGAATTGTTTGCACCACTTTCTAAACACTCACTCACCAAAACCTATTGAAGTGCAAATGAATGCAAGAGGCAGCATGTAGAGCTAAGAATCTTGAAGCTGCTCTAATTCATATCAAACAATTTGTAAAAGTCAGTACTCTAACCATTATTAGAAACAAATGATTTGTAATACAGCTCACGATGGCCACCACAGGATACTGGGTGCTGTGACAGATGCCTCTCCTGAGAGCTCCTGGGCTGGAGAGTGAGAACCATCAGTTACCAGATTTCCAGATTCCCACCCAGCCTTCCTCAGACACTGAGGCAACAGAATGTAGCTCCTGCCCCGCAGGAGCTCCCAACCTCGTGAGGGAAACAAGCCCAGGCTACCTTCCTCCAGGGTCACTTAAGTACGAGACGTCTAGAAAAATTCTCAAAGTGGGACTAAGGTAAGCTGGGTAGGGGAGGCTGGTCCTGAGGGGCTAAAGCGGGAGAAGAGAGAGCCCAGATGGCAGAGAAAATCTGGACAAGGAGGGAGCCCAGGGACTGCAAGTTGGACCCTGGGAGAGGTCTGCCATGCAGACGCACTGACCTTCAGGCTTGGGCTTGCCCAGCACGCGCAGCACCTCGGCGTTGGTAGGGTTCTGACCCAGGGCCCGCAGTACATCCCCACACTGGCCGTAGGTGATCTTCATCTCTCCAGTTGGGGTCCGATCAAACAATGAAAAGGCCTCTTTGAACTCTGTGAAGAGAAGACCCAGCCATACCCCCCAATCCCCATTGAAGGTGGTGGCTGGTGGCCAATCAGCCTCCACCAAGTTGAATAGTAGGTGCGTGTGGTTGTTAAAATATTCCAATATTTCTCTTTGTCCATTAGCCTAGGCCCTCCCTCGAACCCGTCCCCATCTCATCTTCTGCCAAACCAAGAGGCAGCCTGGTGCCTCCACGACCCATTCTAGGGCTGGGCCTGGGGTCTCTTCTATTGCTTCATTGTTATAAAATTCGAATGTTGGGAGGCTGCAGCACAAGAATCGCTTGAGCTCGGGAGGCAGAGGTTGCAGTGAGCCGAGATAGCACCACTGCACTCCAGCCTGGATGACAGAGTGAGACTCCATCTCAAAAAAAAAAAAAAAAAAAAAAAAATTCAAATGTCTCCCTGGTTTCCACCCCTCCCACCCACACATCCTGCTCTGGTGTAGGTGAGGTTCCTGACTGCTGAAATGACAGACAAGTGAAAATAGCACTGGCCCGGAACTGAGGATTCCTAAATTCTCATCTTGGCTCTGCCTCAGAGTGCAGGATAAGCTGGGCTGGGTCTCAGCTTCCTGTGCACACAAAGGGAGTGACAACTCCACCCCACTCCCTGGGCCTGTCACTGTGAGAGCGAAGGGAGGTCGCAGTGTGTGGAAGCATTTTACAAAGTGATAAGACCGCTGGAAAGTCAGCTATTATCAGTACTGCCTGTTCCAGGCTGAAAGGCGGCTCCCAGGCCTGATGAGGCAGTTGTCAGACCACCCCAGCTCTGCCATCCACTCGCATACAGCCTGGGGCAAACTATTAACCTCTGTGGGCCCTCGTTTTCTTAGCTCTAAGTGGAGATACAGTGATCACTTGAGCGGGTTGCAGGTGGGATCACAAAGCACGCCAAGCAATGTCCAGCATATGGTAAGGGAATCGACAAATGGTGGTTACAACTGTTTCCCAGTTCTGTTTCCTACTTACCAGCCCAGAACCATAGGGACTGGACTCCTTGAAGGCAGCAGGGCAAATATCCCTGCAGCAAGACCAAAGGAAGGCACTCCTGGTCCCTTTTTCAAAGAACCTTAACTCTTCATTGATTTGTTTTTGTTTTGTTTTTGTTTTTGTTTGAGACAGAGTCTCGCTCTGTCACCCAGGCTGGAGTGCAGTGGTGTGATCTCGGTTAACTGCAACCTCCACCTCCCAGATTCAAGCAATTCCTGTGCCTCAGCCTCCTGAGTAGCTGGGATTACAGGCACCCACCACCACCACCACACCTGGCTAATTTTTGTACTTTAGCAGAGACTGGGTTTCACCATGTTGGCCAGGCTGGTCTCAAATTCCTAGCCTCAAGTGATCCATCTGCCTTGGCCTCTCAAGTGCTGGGATGATAGGTGTGAGTCACCACACCTAGGCCCAATTCTTCATTGACTGGGATTCAACCAGTTCATTAGTGGAGGTAATTTGGCCTGGGAGGGGCATTGAAGTTACCTTATGCTACCCACAAAGAAGTGGTTTACTAAGCAGATTAACAGTATAAGCCAAAAAAGAATTCATGAACTACTTAGGGAAAAAAGCCAGTTTTAATCCTTTCCAAGTACTTCTTTCTCTAGAGGCTGCATATGGATTATTTACAAATCATTCCACATATCACAGAAGATTCCCCGGACCTTAACTTTCAACTCTTTCTTAGGCTTTATATGAATTTAAAAGACATAAAACCACATTTCCTTCATATTACTGAATAATTGAGTTCAAATTTCATTCCCATTGCTTACTTGACTTTGGACAAATAAATATTTAACCTCTAAAAACCTCTTATATAAATGGTACCTACATCATAGGTTTCTTTTTAGTTAGTTTTTTTTTTTTTTGAGATGGAGTTTCACTCTTGTTGCCCATGCTGGAGTGCAATGGCATGATCTCGGCTTACCACAACCTCTGCCTCCCAGATTCAAGCAATTCTCCTGCCTCAGCCTCCCAAGTAGCTGGGATTACAGGCATGCGCCACCATGCCAGGCTAATTTTGTATTTTTAGTAGAGATGGGGGTTTCTCCATGTTGGTCAGGTTGGTCTCGAACTCCCGACCTCAGGTGATCCACGCACATCGGCCTCCCAAAGTGCTGGGATTACAGGTGTGAGTCACCACGCCTGGCTATATAGGTTTCTTAAATTACATTCAAATTAATATAATAATGTATGTAAATATACTATGTGTATAAATACAATAATATATGTAAAAAATTTTAACACAATGTCCAGCACATAGTAAATGCATAAACAGTGCGTCTAGTATTATCTTACTGAGTTTAATCCTAATTTGGATCACTTAACTGTGTGATCTTGGCCAAATCATTTAACCTCACTGAACCTTGGTTTCCTCCTTTGTAAAAAGGAAATAACACCTACCTCATAGCCTTATTATAAGGATTTAATATTTTTATTTATTTGTTTGTTTTTATTTTTATTTTTTTGGAGACAAAGTCTTGCTCTGTCACCCGGGCTGGAGTGCAGTGGCACAATCTCAGCTTACTGCAACCTCCACCTCCCAGGTTCAAGCAATTCTCCTGCCTCAGCCTCCCTAGTAGCTGGGATTACAGGTGCGTGCCACCACGCCCAACTAATTTTTTATACTCTTGGTAGAGATGGGGTTTCACCATGTTGGCCAGGCTGGTCTCGAACTCATGACCTCAAGTGATCCACCTGCTTCAGCCTCCCAAAGTGCTGAGATTACAGGTGTGAGCCACTGCACCTGGCCAGGATTTAATCTTTTTTACTTTTAAAACAATTAGCATGGTGTCTGGCACAAATTCAGTGCTCAATAAATACATATTTGTTAGTTGAATCTGAAGTCAGACTTTTTGATCTCCTAGTTCATTCAGAAGAGTGAGGTCAAGTTTAACAAAAGAGGAAGTCTCATCAAAAGAAAATGTAATGATGTGCCTGGCACAATGGTTCACGCCTGTAATCCCAGTACTTTGGGAGGCCAAAGTGGGAGGATCACCTGAGGTTAGGAGTTCGAGACCAGCCTGATGAACACGGAGAAACCCCATCTATACTAAAAATACAAAATTAGCTGGGCCTGGTGATGCATACCTGTAATCCCAGCTACTCGGGAGGCTGAAGCAGGAGCATCACTTGAAGCCGGGAGGCAGAGTTTGCAGTGAGCAGAGATCACACCATTGCACTCCAGCCTGGGCAACAAGAGCAAAATTCTGTCTCAAAAAAAAAAAAAAAAAGATGTAATGATGCTTAATAAGAGGGTGAAACCTGAAGAGGAGGGTAATAAGAACAATGACCTATGATTTGAGCACTTACCATGAACCAGGCCCTGAGCAAATAATTTTGCATAGAACACTCTATTAATCTTTATGAGAAAACCTTATGCTATCGGTATTATTATCCTCATTTAAAAGCCAATGTAGATATGACTTATGATCAACTATTAAGGAAACCAAGGAAATGATGGGGAGGAAGGAGGAAGAGGAGGACACCTGCTTGTTATAACTGCTGATGCTCCAACCTATCGCCTGGCCTGCTGGGAAGTCTGGTATGCACATAAAAAAAATCAAACACTGATGTTTAGGACTACAACTAGAAAAAAAAAAAAAAAAAGCCAGTGTGATTTTCAGGTATTAGAGGTGATGTTCAAGGGTCCAGAAGAGACCTTTCCTCAATACTCTGCAGTAGTGTAGTCACCTGCTTACTACAGCAGTGACTCCCCTCTCTAAAAGAATACAGAAATCTGGAGAGGGATGAGAAGGAAGTCAAGGGTTAGAAGCTAATTCCTATGAGGAAAAAAAAAAAAAAAAAAAAGCACAAAAGAAACTGGGAGACCAGGCACAGTGACTTAATGCCTATAATCGCAGCACTGTGGGACGCCAGAGGATTGCTTGAGGCCAGGCGTTGGAGCCTAGTCTGGGCAACATAGCAAGACCCCCATCTCTACAAAACATAAAAACAATGGTACATGCCTGTAGTACTAGCTACTCAGGAGACTGGGGTGAAAAGATTGCTTAAAACCAGGAATTCAAGGTTACAATGAGCTATGATAGCACTATTGCACTCCAGCCTAGGTGACACAGCAAGACCTTGTCTCAAAATAAAATAAAATGATAGCATAAAATAAAATGAAATAAAATAAAATAAAATAAAATAAATTGGGGCATGTCACCTAGAGAATATAAATCTTAGGAGGGATTTGAAAACTATCTCCAAATAGATGGAGGATATCTAGAGGATGCTGAATGGACTAGAATGTCTGAATTGAAACCCAAATACCCTCACTTTGTAGATAAGAAAATTAAGATTTAAAGAAGTGAAATGGCCAATAGTGGAAGAATTAGGGCTAATACAAAAGTCTCCTAATTCCACATTATGTTCTTTCCACCATAACATGAGAAAACCATTATCATCTTCACCAAAAAACAAATGAAAAGATCGCTGGGGTAAAATTAAAGGAAAAACAATTCTGATTCAAGAGAAGGAAAAATGTCTTCAAGGTCGGAGGGATAAAAGATCAGAATGAGTTACCCCCTCCCCATCAGCCCTGAAAAGACACAACCATCTGTTCCAGTTGGCCATTCGGGAAGTTAAAATTTTAAATCATTAGTTGATTTTCCAGTCCTCACTAGTATCCTTATGTTTCTATATCCACGTAAGTATATATTTAACTAAAATGCATTGAAATTAATACTGACTGCAAGTGAGTATCCACTGAGTATTATGAAAACAGAGTCAGGCTCAATTCACTAGTTTCAAAAGGCATATGCCAGCTCTCACACTGTATTTGTGGGTAAACCGGTGTCACTTTTTTGGAGAGCAACCTGGCAATAACCATTATAATTTAAAATGCACCATCCTTTAAACCACTGCTAGGAAGGCCACCTGGGAAAAGAAAGCTGATATCCTCCAACCGGAAACATCTGAAAGCCTATCAATATAGTCCTGATTAAATTAAAAGGTTACACCTATGTGTGAGAGTCTATATACTTGTTTAAAAGAATGAAGTAGAACTGTTCGTGTGGCTGGGCGTGGTGGCTCACACCTGTAATCCCAGCACTTTTGGGAGGCCAAGGCGGGCAGATCATGAGGTGAGGAGATCGAGACCATCCTGGCTAACACGGTGAAACCCCGTCTCTACTAAATATACAAAAAAAATTAGCCGGGCGTGGTGGCGGGCGCCTGTAGTCCCAGCTCCTCGGGAGGCTGAGGCAGGAGAATGGTATGAACCTGGGAGGTGGAGGTTGCAGTGAGCGGAGATCATGCCACTGCATTCCAGCCTGGGCGACAGAGTGAGACTCTGTCTAAAAAAAAAAAAAAAAGAACTGTTTGTGTTAATTGTGAAAAGATATCCAAATACTGTATATTACTAAATCCAAGTATATATTTAATAAAAGGTGGACAGTGTGTATCACATGGCTTGATTTGTATAAACTGTATACACTCATCATACATACACACAAGCTTGTGTATCATTATATATTTTTCTGAAAGGATACATAAACACCTGTCCACAGTGGTTGTCTTTGGGAGAGGAATCAGCATGGAAAAAAAGGATTTTTATTTTTTATTATTTACTTTTAAGTAATATGTGTGTGTGTGTTTGCTTTTTTGTTTTACCATGTGCAAATATTCATTTGATTTTTAAAAGAGAGTATGTGCTTAAAATGAGGGGGCTGGATTAGGTGACTGTTCAAGGTCCTCCAATTCTTATAATTTTATGTCCTGGAGGCATTCAGTGGGGGATATACTGCAATGACAGTGAGTCCTGCTTTACAGCTGGGGGACATGGAGCATCACGTGATAAAACATTTCATTGGCCCTGCCACCATTAGTGGGTTAGCATCTTGGCAGACTTCATGGTGGCAGGAGAGGAAGCTGGTAAACTAAGGAGGGCTTTCCAATAATGGGAACAGAAATGAGGGCTTCTAAATATCTTAGATAGATCTTTGGAGTGGAGGAAAAAAGGCACTAACTTTTGTTAAGCATCTGCTGTGCTCCAAGCAGTCTGGCGGGGTAGTTGAGAAAACAGATCTGGAATCAGATTGCCTGAGTTTGAACCTGAGCTCTACTGCTGACCGCCATGTGAGACTGGGCAAGTCACCCCATCTCTATGTGTCTCCGTTTTATCACTTGTACATGGGGGAGGTAACAATTGCTACCTCATGGTGTTGTTATGAGAATTAAAGGAGTGAATCCATATAAAGTGCCTAGGACTGTGCCTGACACATGGTAAATGCTCAATACAGGTTTGCTATGATGATGATAGTGATTACTATTACCATGAGGACAACAACTACTCCTCCTCTTCTTCCTCCTCCTCCTTCTTCTCCTCGTCCTCCAGGAAAATGCAATAGAGACGGAGAGGTGGGGTTGTCCACACTTACCTTCAATCTGGTCAGCAGTGAAGTCTATCTGCAGGGAGGGAAATAGAAGTGAGGGCTTGGATTGCTAAAAGCAATTGTAAAGGTCCCCAAAGGGAAGCAGAAGCAGAAGTGGCTTCCAATACAGTCTGGCCACCTCCAGCAGGCCACTGATAAGCAAGGAAGGAGACTTGTGCTAAGGGTAAAACACAAGTCTCCTGCTGAATGAGACACAACTGACAGGCTATAAAATACAGTCAGCCCTCCTCCCCAGCTTCAACCAACTCCGGATTGAAAATATTCAGAAAACAGTAAATAATCACATGACAATAAAATATAGTACAAAAAATATATAACATAACGATCACATAGTATTTACATTGTACTAAGTATTATAAGTAACCTAGAGAGGATTTAAATTATACAGGAGGCTGTGTGTAGATTAGATGCAAACTTTACATAGGAGGCTTGAGCATCCTCAGATTTTGGTATCCGTGGGGGTCCTGGAACCAATCCCCTACAGAGAATGAAGGACAACTGTAATGCAGACTCCAAAGTTCTCTCAATACCACTTATTAAGTGATGGTTCCAGGTAAGAGCGAAAGGGAAAGAAAAATTCCCTAGATAATTGTAGAACCTACACGGACTCCCTATTGCAATGCCTTTGGGTCAAAGGTAAATTCTCCATCCTAGCCACCCACAAACTGCCCTCCCTGTTGCCCCTTCAATCTCTTCCTAGTCCATAGTCCTCTGACAAGCTGCACTTCTGCCCTCCTTGGGCACCACCACTCCCCACCCTTTGACTCCTCTTTCTATCTGATTCTGATTTTAAATCCACTCCCTTCGATGAAGGCTTCCCACACCCCATCCCACTCCAGCCCCTCCTTCCGCACATGTCCCTAGTTAAGTACAATTTATAAGAGGCCATTGTTTTGTACTGAGCTCCTACACTAGGCCCAATAGACCAAACCAAAATAGATTCACTCATACTGAAGTTCCATATCACCAAGCTGAAACTAAGTTGTTGATCTGATTCTCCAAGAAATCAGGAAAGTGAGAGATAATAGCCAGATCCCCAAATAGGACCGTTTCAGCCAGCGTGATAAGAAAGTGCCATCTGCTTTAACGTTTACAAGAAAAGTAACTTTGCAATGACCAATCTGCATTTTGCTCTTCATTTCTGCTTGCCTCTGCCCTTCTCTGTCTATAATACCACCTCCTCTGCTCGGCTCGTTGTTACCAGATTCTAGACTCAAACATCAAAGCCAATTCAGATCTTAAAACTAAATGTGTTGTAATTTTGCCTTCTGACACACTCTTAGGCACTCTGGGACAGCAAGAGTAATTAGCATGGGCCCTCCACGCTTCCTAATTGTTTCCAGTCATGCCTTTATGTACACTCTGTCTCCTTGAAGCCACTGTTCCCTCAGGCAAGGATTCTTGTTATTGTTCACTGAAATGCTTAGTACATAGTAGGCACTGAAAAAGTATTTGTTGCAAGAAGTAATACATTTTGGACTTCCCCCTCATAATGCATAATAATTTAATGCTGAGTACAGAAGAGGAGAGTGAATGACAATGGCCAAGCGTAAGTCATCATTTTATTTTATTTTATTTTTTATTCTTATTTTTTGAGATGGAGTTTCACACTTGTCACCCAGGCTGGAGTGCAATGGTGCAATCCTGGCTCACTGCCACCTCTGCCTCCCAGGTTCAAGTAATTCTCCTGCCTCAGTAGCTGGGATTACAGGCGCCCACCACAACGCCCAGCTAATTTTTGTATTTTTAGTAGAGACAGGGTTTCACCACGTTGGCCAGGCTGGCCTCGAACTCCTGACCTCACGTGATCCACCTGCCTCCACCTCCCAAAGTGCTGAGATTACAGGCATGACCCACCGCACCCAGCCCAAGTCATCATTTTGATTTAAGATCTTGTATGTTACCTCTTGGTCCTTATGCACCCCACCCACCCCACCCCATCCCATCCCATCCCCTCTCCACTGGTGGTGCTTCCAATCCTGGAGCCTCTTCTTCAAGTGCCATCATTCCTAGTACTAATTCTGCTGCTGCTTGTGCTGTGCCCATCCCATCTCCTCATCTCCAAGAACTGACCTCCATTCATGAGGACCCAGAGGTGGCAGCCATGAGCTGGGGATGGGTTGGGGCGGTGGAGAGTTAACCAGGTTGGAAAAAAAACTAGCTGTGGCCAGGAATAGACTTTGCCAAAAGTGGGGGGTGGTCAGAAAGTTAAAGGAACCCCCTAGATGGGCTGAAGGATGCTCTGCATTCACTCTCTGAGGAAAGGCACAGTTTGCCTTACTTTGCAATGCTTTAAGTACCAGGAATAAACATGTAAGAGCAATTAATGTAAAAACATAAAATCTCAATAGATGTGGTCATAACTACACACATTGGGCTTAAGTTTGCTTGTGTTCTATCTTCGAATCTTTTTTATAATTTATTTATTTATTTGTAGAGACGAGGATCTTGCCATGTTGCCCGGGCTGGACTCAAATGCCTGGCCTCAAATGACCCTCCCGCCTCGGCCTCCCAAAGGGTTGGGATTATAAACACGAGTCACCTCACCTGGCTTCTGCTCTATCTTGGAGGAAAGAACCTTCTAATCAAAGGAACTGGGTAAGTATAACACAATAATAGGGAAAATGGCTCTCATAAAGATACCTATTTTTTTTTTCTACTTCAAAGCAACTTCAACAACCCCCAACAACGCCCACGAAGATGCAGACATGGAAAAGAGGATTGCAACCAGGGGTGCAATTTCTCATTGAGAGAAATTGAGAGAGGAGAGTGAATGAAAGAAGTGACAGGCCAAGGGAAGGACACCAGTTGGATGCCACTAGGCAGCTGTTGCCCAGACACCAGGGACCAGGCCTGGCAACCCACCCAAAGGCACAGTGCTTTATGGGAACAAATCAGAAATGAAGGCGAGGAGGGATCTTGAAGGGGGAAATAGCTTTTCCTGCCAGGCTCAGCTTGTAGAGGGAGTGATGTATGACCTAGAAAACCTGCAGGTGTTTTCAGGGTCCTACAGGAGCCTCAGTTTCCCCAGAGTTAGCCATAACCAAGTTCAGAAATGGGGCAATTGCCTCCATCTCTTGGCTAAGCAGTTCCACCTTAACTCCTGCCCCTTGTGGGGACTGGGTCTTTGGCATAATAATTGTAGGGTTATCCCGGCTGTGGGTATGAGAGGAATTCTCAGAGGGCAGGGAGGTCATACAACTAGAGCTCTGGGTTTTAATTTCCCTGCCTGCTTGTCACGGAACCTGGTCCTGTGCTCTTATTTTGACCTGATACCTCACCACCCCCAGCCCTGTCCTGAGGCTGAGATCCCTGGGGGCTCAGCACTCCCAACCTGTTATAAATAGCTCTTCATACCAGTAGCCACTTGACCTCTTCCATTCTGGTGCCAAGGCTTAAAACTGCTCCTCTCCAGAGGTCTCTGGCCCCCTCTCTCTTCAGCCCGCCCCTCTCCCACCAGTTCCATTCCTTCAGCAGCTGGGCCAGAGAGCTGGGAGGTCTAACATGACTGAGTCAGCAGGCAGGGCCCACACCAGCTCCAGGGAGAGGAATGTTTTGTGTGAGGAGAGCAGGGTGGGGCAAAGGAACCAGGCCCAGCTTCCTGATCCAGTCGGAGAGAGGGTCTCAGCCCCGGTTGGGCCAGTCCTCTGCATGCTACAGATAGGAACCCAGGCTAAGGCCACAGAAGGAAAGGCCTGTCTGAGTAAGGAAAGAGAAGACAGGAATCCAAGCTCCTCTTACCTTAACCACAACCTCCTTCCCACCCTGCCCTCAACTGCCATAAGAGTGTTTGTGAGTGAAGCCTTTCCCAAACTGCCGTGAACAGGGAGGATATTCCCTCACTGTTTATATCACTTACTCCAAGTTACACTGGCAGCTCCCCTGTGTCTGTTCTCCATAAAGATATCCCACTACCTCCTAGGAAAAGGCTAGTCTCTTTTACTTTGCTATGGTGGTCCTCACAATGCCTTATAAAAGGGTGGATGAATGGTTGGTTGTATCTCTCTCCATTCCCAACTAGCTGCACAAATCTAGGGTAGCAGGACAGGGCTCCCTCAAAGCAGCACCTCATTCTTGATGGAAAAGGTTTATGACCCTATCTCCCCCTCATCAATCAACCCCAACACCCACTCCACTGCCCCATGGGACTGCGGTCTGGGTCATGGACACCCTAGTCCTCATCCCAGTCCGCCCCACATAAAGTAGATCTCTAAGCTCCAGAGCAAAAGGACTCTGCATGTCATCCCCACCTCTATCCCAATGGCTGAGCCTCACTTACCTTTACACTCTTGGGGTCAAAGGCAGGTTCCCTGGGAGCCTCAGGAGCTGGGGCAGGGGCTGGTGCAGGGGCTGGAGCTGGAGCTGGCTTGGCCACCTCCTTCTTAGGCTCAGGCTTCTTGGGAGCCATGTTGTCTTGTTGGGATCTTCGGCAGAGGAGTGATCTAAGAAGAAACCAAGAGACGTGGCGTCTGGGAGATGAGATAGGAGCCTGGGCCGCCTCCCTTCCCTTTTATCCTGGGCAGGAGCCCCCACAGAGGGGCTGGGTGAGAGCAAGAGCAACTGCTGCTGACTATAAAAGGAAGAAACGCCAGCAGGGTACAGCTGACAACTGTGTATTGTCACCAGGTTTGGGGCCACCAGCCCCCTCCCCTTCACGCCACACCTCTCTCTTCACCTCTAGGACAGGCTGATCCCTTCCTGCCAATTGGTGGAAACCCACAAGGACCAGGGAAACAGACCTTCTCAAATATGCCAGAGCAGCCGGAGAGATGAGCTGACTTGAGCAGTTGATAACCCTCACACAAAGCCCAGGGGAGGGTGAGGCTTTTTTTAGCCCCTCCTGAGCAGAGGCAGCCCACTGCACATTCCTTCTAAGCCAAGATCCTTTAAGCTGAGAGCCACTCTGGGCCCTCAGCTCTGCCTAGAGGCCCAACTCTCCAGGCGTGGAGCTCCGAAGTAACAGCTGGTCCAGCCAACCCACACTGCCCCACACCCTCCCAACTCACAGAGTGAAAGCCTCCATTTTCCAAAGCAGGCATCCCAGGAACTCCACAGACCTCAGATCCCTGGATCTACCCCCTTACACACAACCTCAATCATTCATTCAACAACTAGTGAGCACTTAACCCACGCCTAGGCACCTAGGAGAGAAGCAGACAGACGTGGTAGAAAGTCGAGGAGATTGAGGGTCAGAAAACTTGGGGTCTAGTTTTCACTCTACCCCTAACTCATTCTGTGCTCTGTGTGTGTGTGTGTGTGTGTAGTGCTTACTACTATCAGTACCAGGAACTGTTAAGTGCTATTCATATAAAATGTCATTAAATCTTCACCACAGTCCTATAAGGTAGATACTATTTTGTTTGTTTGTTTTAACAGAAACAAGGTATCGGTCTGTTGCTCAGGTTGGAGTGCAGTGGCGCAATCACATTTCACTGCAGCCTCGTCTTTCCTGGCTCAAGCGATTCTCCCACCTCAGCCTTCCCAGTAGCTGGTACTATAGGTGCGTACCACCACACCTGGCTAATTTTGGGGGAGTTTTTTTGTGTTTTGTTTTAGTTAGAGATGAGGTCTTGCTAAATTGCCCAGGTTAGTCTTGAACTCCTGAGCTCAAGGGATCCACCAGGCTCGGCCTTCCAAAGCACCAGGATTACAGGCATGAGCCGCCAAGCCAGTCCAGGTAGATACTATTATTATTTTCATTTTACACCTGGGGAGATTGAGACTAAAACTGGTTGAATAACTTGGCCAAGGTCACTCAAATAATTAGCTATAAGCTGGGATTAGACTCTAGATATGTCTGATTCTAAAGTCTATGCTTGAATAATGTATATGATAATCCAGTTATGGGGGAAAGGCATACAAGTTTGCACATTCATTGGAAAGATCAGGATGGATACACACTGAACCATTAACAGAGACACCTCTGGGGACCTAAGGGGTAAGGGTGGGAGGATAACAGCAATTTGCGGTTCTTTACTTTTTTCACTTCCTGTATTAATGGAAATTTTTATAACGAGCATTTACTGTTTATGTAAAAAAAACTTAGAAAGTCAACAAAATAATTCAGAAAAATAACAACAAAAAAGCGTATGTATCCACTACACAAAACTGCTTTGCCCTGAACCTTCAGACTCTACCGTTCAGGGGAAAAGAGGAATAAAGGTGAGAGAAGCAAAAAATCACTTGCCTTTCTAGGCCCAGTTTCCTCACCTATAAAGCAAGATTGCTAGACCACAGAACGCCTGGTTGCTGTTAGCTCCTAAGCCTGCAATTCTGGGTGCCCTGGAACCCACATCTGCCCATTCCCCAGCTCTCTAACCACAGGTTCCATGCCCCAAATCATTGCTTTCAGAGCCAGAAGGACCCTTAGAGATCATCTGGCCCCATCCTGTTTTACAGGCAAGGAATCTAAGGTCCAAGCGTTTAAGTTGCCTCAAGACATTCAGCTACTTACAGGCAGAGCTGGTCCAACTAATTCTGTTTCCCAGGGTGCAGTGCTCTCTGTAGCACACTGCTCTTCACTGCTCCTCCTGTAGCCTGTACATGCTTACTGGTGGTGACAGAGAAGCCCTCAAAGGAAACAGGCAGGAAAAAGTGCCAGGACTTGCTCAAGGGGATATTAGAACGAGACCAGGGCCCAGACTCGAGCCCAGCCCTGGTCCTGAGCTGGGAAGGCGGGTCCTTTGCTCTGTTTACCTCACCTCCTCCCCTCATCTTCTGCCTCACCTCTCTTCCTTGTCGGCTACCAAACTTGATCCCTTGTACCCTCGATCGCACTTTCTATAATCCCTGTCAGTCCTCTCCCTGACCTACCCCATTCCCCATGGGGGTTGGGAGTTCAGGTTGTTGGTGATGGGGAAGGAGAAAAAGTGGAAACCCAGGCCCTCCTCCTTCTCCACCTCCACCTGCATCCCTTCCTGGACTGCATCCTGTGGAGTCTGTGCAAAAATATACAAACTGGGATTTCTGTAAAAAGCTGCAGGATAGAAGCTGGGAGACCCAGGCACTACCCCTGACTTTGCCAGCCACTTCCCCTCTCTGGGCTTCAGCTTGCTTATTTTAAAAGGAAAAATAATCAGGAGGCTTTCAAACCATGTTCAACAGAATCCTGAGACTAGAAATCTTGCTATCTTGCTTTATACATGACATGCTTCTGGCTGCAAGGGACATAGAAAGGCCAGGCCTTGGAGCTCCTTCCACCACCATCACTTCAGTCACCACCACTCCTGTGTTTTACATACCGGAACTCCCAGTGTGTAAAACAGTATCATTTTCTAATGGTTACATGGCTTAATTTTTTTTTAAATAATCACTGAATGGCACATGCCCCCTTCCAGTTAAAACACGCACACACAACAAGTTGTTATTATGTTATTGTCGTAGTTATTCTACAAAGATGTATGATCCTCAGAAGAAAAAGCTGGAAGGTTGTTCTTTTCTTTTCTTCCTTTCCTTTCTTCCCCCACCCCCCACCGCCACCTTTCTTTTCTAAAGTCTAAGAAGCAAAATGTCAAGTCTGCATGGGAACAGAGCTATGAGGTTAGAAAGCTGGGAAAGCCGAATGGGGCTCCGGAGGCATCCAAAATCACGCAAGGACTGTGGACTCTGGAGGTACGCAGTGATGGGTCTGAAGCCTGGTTTTGCCACTTTCTAATCTAGGCCTGAGTGGCCTCAGGACCTTTGAGGGTAAACATTTCCTTTTCAAATTGTCATGAGATTTGTATGAAATAATGTGAGTAGGGCACTGCAAACAACCTCTGCCATGTAGGAAACATTCAAAGAGATTCATTTCACTTTCCTTTGCCCAGCAGGTTGAAGCTAGAGCTGCATTCAGGCTTCCCAGATTTGGAACTTCCAGAGAGAGGTCCACATGAGAAAGGGACAAGGTAAGATGACAGTGGCTAAAGGGATTTTAAGGTGTGGGATTAGGAACGATGAAGAGGTGGAAAGGAATGGAAGTGGGGGAAGGGCAGCCGCTGGGAACTCATGGTGTAAAATATTTGTGGCTCAGAAAGCATGTGGCAGGTCTCTAGGGCCAGGCGGCCTGTCTCACGGAGAACACTCAGAGAAGGCATGCCCAACCACCTGAAACCTTAGGCACAGGTGCCCCAGCAGGGGAGAAGACGCTCCTCAAATCAGTTTCAGATTCGTTTTCGGCAGCCCCAGTGAAAAAAGTGCCTGACACTTCAGAAACAACTGGAGGAGAGCTGTGGTTTCAGGCAAAGAGCCATGCATGAAGAAGCAACATATCAACCCCTGGCCTTGTTTTTACTAAAATTCATGACGCCGCGCTTCATGAGAGCCCAGTAACTGGAGTCCGAGTTTCCATCTTCTTATGGTCTTCATTCTGTTTCATGGCCAGTGACTTTCACCTTCAAATCTTACCAATCGAGAGAGTATCCTTCCCAGGGCCTATGACACAGACTTGCCCTACAATATCTGTTGACCCATCAGAGCCAAGGAAAGAAGGAGATGTAGTAGTGTGAAGAGGCAAGTATGGCAGTGGGTACTGGCAGACAAATAACTTTCTCTGGGAAGCATCTGGTGGTTTCTGAGCCAGCGTTGCTGAGGCTCACCCAAATGCTCCCATGTGGGACTTCCAATTCAGCAGATTGAAAACACAAGACAGAATTTAACACCTACCGGTTTACATCAGATGTCAAATTCAGACACAAATGCACAAAGGAGAAGTGACATCAGCCCTCATTTGGGCTGAGCTCACAAACACTCACTCCTCCTCCTCCCTTCATCTCTAACCACACAGAGCCTGCCTGTGTCCTGCTCAGAGAGAGATCCATTAGCGTCTCCTGCCTGGGAAATGCTGCTGACAGCTAGCCTGGCTGTTAATGCCTTCTTCCTGTCACCCTCTCTCTCTCTCCTCTGACCAATGTCTCATAAGTCTGGACATCACAGGGTAATGCCCTGGCCAACACTATGTCAATAGTCCCCGTAGAGAGTACTGGGTAATTTGGGTTTTACTGCAAGGCAGAGGTTAAGAAAGCTGACTCATGAATCAGACTGCCTGGTTTAGAGTCCTGGCTTAATTAGTCAACTTTTTTTTTTTTTTTTTTTTGAGACAGGGTCTCACTTTGTAATCCAGGCTGGAGTGCAGTGGTGAAACATAGTTCATTGCAGCCTCCATTTCCCTGGTTCAAGTGATTCTCCCGCCTTAATCTCCCAAGTAGCTGGGACTACAGGTGTGCACTACCACACCTGGCTATTTTTAAACTTCCTTATGCCTCAGTTTTCTCATCTGTAAAATGTGGCTGTTACAACGACAATGTAGTTGTGAGGATTAAATGAGTTAATACAAGTGGCACACAGAGAACAGTGTCTAGCACAAAGCAGCTACTCAAGATCTTTAAGCTTGGATCCTGATTGAACTGCTGTGACTGTGGCTCCCTATCCCAAGATCACCCGCACAAGAGTTACAAAGAGAAAATACCAAGAAATGAAGAAACCCTCGAGAAACCCCTTGGGTGAAGGAGAGGGCCT